ACAACAGCATAATCTCATTTTCAAGTGAGCAAAAAAAATAACTTTTCTTTTCTATTTGTTTACTAGTATCTCTAAGGGTCCATAGGGATGTCCTACTACGCGTGAACCAATATCTAAATTTTATCAACTAACCGTCCCCATACCCCATCCGGTATGAGCGCCAAGAATACCATTCCTCAATACCTCTTCCGTTATGAGAGTGAATTGAGCCGTCCACATACTCTGTCCGGCATGAACGCTAAAAAATATCATCCATCAATACCCCGTCCAGTATGAGGTAACGTTCATGGTAGGGTTCTCTATGTACCCGGTCCATCCACCATCTTCCAGGATATGCAGTAAGACAACCATTCACTTATTCACTTAACCAAGCAATTTTCCGTTTACATTTTAATTTTTAGTTTCATAAATTAACCATAAATCACGCAAGACAAATAATACATGCATCAAGGAAATACAACTTAATTATTTTACCAATTACAGTATATTATTATGCATTTAAAGTTTTAAAATCAAACAATATTAACAAGAATAAACAATAGTAACTAACTGATTTCGGCTCCATTAGTAACCTGTAATTATTCTCGAAGTTTTTTAAATTGCACAAAATGTCATATTACCGATCATTAAACTTCAATTCCATAACAAAGAGTAAGGTGAAAAATACTGAACTTTCTACTGTGCCTACTAGCGGTCCCCGGATTTTCTGAATTTTTTTGCGAAGATTAAAACACGCTTCACATACCTAAAAATACCATAAAAACCCAAAATTGGTGTTAAAATCCTTTTTTGGCCAATTTTAAAATTCTATATCTCAATCTAGCCCTTTTCGACCGGTTTTATACTCATCCCTGCAAGAAAACACATTAGGCGGTCTCGGTTGGTCAAAAAAATTTAAAAATAGAAACCTACTAGCGGTTGGATTTTTCAGTGTGGCAGCTACACTGGCTCACCTTCACGGCTTGGTGTTTTTCTTCTGTCAATCTATAAAAATATAACAGTGAACACAATGATGAAAAAGTTGTACGAAATAGAAAACGGGAAGGGGCTCATCGAAGGCGGTTGTGAGTTTTGCCCGCAGCTTTGCCTGTAGTTTTTGGATCACTCGTCGTTTGTTTTGCTCCGATATGACCACAGGGGTGCTCGGAATCGAATTCCAAGTGGGTATAAGATTTTTTACCATTTTTGGTGGTCAGAGGTGGCTACGGTGCAGCGGCGGGCGGCTGTTGGGTCCCTTCTCTAGTGACTAATTCTTCTTCTCCGACGGGGGACTGGCGGCTAGGGTTCGATTTCTGTATGATGCAAAATATTTATACCCATCTCACATTAATCTAGTTTGTTCATCGCATTTAATCTTCACCGTTCGATCGCATATAAGGAGGAAACGAATCTAAACCGTTCATCGCGTTTGATCTCGACCGTCTAATCGTACCTAAGAAAGAAATAAATTTGAACCATTCATCGTGTTTGATCGAGACCATCCGATTGCACCTGAGAAGGGAACGGATCCGGATTATTCATGCTCACTGGAAGACCTCCGGCGGTCTGATTACGGGGCACGCGGATCGCCAGCGTGGCCTCCTGCATGGTACCAAGTCAGCTTGTCTTGCCATGCAGCGCACTCCGGTTTGTCAAGACTACTGAATGAGCAGTCCTACGTGGTAAA